GTTCTTATATCGAGACGTCCGCCGTCGTTGCCGCATGGCGGCTCGCTTTGCGCTAATATTAAAACTTTAATAACGAGGCGAGCTCTCTTCCTGCGGCAGTCTCGCTCCTGGAATACCTCCGCAAAAGGAGCTACTGTTTCGACGGTCCTGCCGCGAGAGCGAGAGGGCGGCTCTGACTTAAGTCGCATTGAATCCCGTGAATCGCATCAACAAGTCCTTTCCTCGCGAAGACGCGAATAACACCTCGTTGTCCTCCGTTGCTTCCCTCCCATTCTTGCGCGGCGCGCTCTCGATACTTCTGAACTTCTGAGCGATATTTTCTCGGCTGACTGGCTCGGAGAACGACTTCCGCCCGGCACTTCATTAACTCATTAGCTGATAAATTCCAGTTCCGACGCGGCGCGCGCGGTCCTCCGGCAGAAGAAAGAGCACTCGCGGTGCCGCACAATGTATCATCTCTCTGGGAATAAAGCGGAAACGCTCGAGAAATGTGCGCGATCGGCTATGGAGAGTTTCTCGACGGCTGGACATTTCTGGAATTTCATTCCCTATGCCTGCCGGCGATTCGAGCATCAACAGAGAGAACGTTATTAACGTCTGTTTAGTTAACGGTGGCCGTGCACGTGCATATGTGTGCGTATGTGCGCATGTATATGTACGTGTGTTGAGACAAATCGAAGGAGACTCGAGTCGCAAACGTGCATTATTTATTGGGTGTGTGCAAAAGTTTGTCTTTTTTTACCCCTCTAATGTGATTATTCTAAATTGAAATATTTCCCCGTCATTTTGTGCTTGCGTCAGGTTGCTATTGAACTTTCTAAAACGCCATTCATTATGATTCATTGGTGCACATAACTTTAAAAATAACAATTAATAAATAAGCGACGAAAAACTTTATATTCGACGCTGCATTCAATATGAATTCCAGCAAGGAAAAAATGCTGCTAAAGCATGTAAATTCATTGTTCGGTTCTTGGAGAGAATATATTACCAATATTTGCTCACAATACGAGCAAATATTGGTTTCGTCTTTTTAAAGATGGTAATTTTAACGTGAGCGCACTGAAGCGCCACGAAAGATTGAGGCCGACATTTGGGAGCGTTGTTGCATGAGAACTTGTCTCAAACGCAAGTAGAACTTGCAGAATGACTCGAAGTTGACCAAGCAACAGTTTGAAGGTGACTGCATGAAATGGAAAAAATTCAAAAGCTCGGATGATGAATGCCGCATGAATTGTCGCAAAACAGCAGTTATCCGCCAGATGTACACGCGCGTTTCATTGCTCTCTACACGGCGCAAAGGAGAATTTTCGAAAAATTCTTACTGGCAATGAAAGATGGATTTTGTATGATAATCCTAAACAGACATTCGTGGGTAGACCCCGGACAGCCTTCTACATTAGTGGTGAAACCAAACATTCCCAGCAAAAAAGTCCTTTTGTTAAGGAGGGAATTATATATGGAAGGCTATTTTTACGAATTTTTTTAACAGAAACGATAGGATCAATGGACTTGAAATTTTCACAGTATATTCGTTAATGTTTAAAATATAAAATAAATTTTATTAAATCACAAGAACCGATCTAATTTATAATTATAGATAAAAATGCTGTTTGCGAGCTCTATGTTTGCTGTCAACATATATATATATAATTTCAAGTCTCTCACTACTTTGAAACCAAAAACTGAGAAAGATTTTTAGAATATACTCTCTAAAAGTGAATCAGTGAGTTTCATTGATTCATTTTTAGAGAGTATGATTGCCATTATAACCTGTACTAAAATGAAGGCAGTCAAGCCAATTTTGGAAAAATAATGACTGTACAAAAAAAAAGTATTGAAAATGAAACTTTCTTCAACTTGTAATCATGTTTAAAAAAATGAATAAAATAAAATATAACTGTGTTCGAAGTAGGGGCAAAAACTACATGTCTACTGTATATTGTGTAAAATTTCAAGTCATTCGGTTTCAGTAATTTTTGCGTAGTCATGTCAACAGTTTAAGAAAATGGTGTTTCCAGATAAACGCCTTTAAAGTTGTGTATGTGTATTTTCCATATAGATAATAACAAATTTATTTTATACTTTGTACATTAATGAATATATTGTGAAAATTTCAAGTCCATTAATCCTACCGTTCCTGTTCGTAAAAAATTCGTAAAAATAGCCTTAAAAACGGCCTGCTCCGCATGTAATCCCCCCCTTGATACGATGGGAAAGGTTATGCGCAGCAATAAATCATATAACGGCGTTTTAAAAAGTTCAATAGGAACTTTGCGAAAGCCTGAAAACGGAGAAATATATTAATTTAAAATAATTACATCAGAGGACTGGAAACAGACTAGAGCTTTCGCGTATACCAACTAGCATGGTTTTGTCCGCTCATAAACCACCAACATCTGGGTAGTCCATATTGCGCAGCGCGCGCTTCCTCGGAGGATGACACGCATCTGTCGGCGTGTTGTTCTCCTCTCGTTGACGATCTCCTTTTCGAAAACAAAAATGGCCTGTCTGCAAGCGCAGGGAGCGGCTTATCAGACGCGCCCATATGGCGCGGGCTGTTCTGTTCTCTCTACAGCTTTCAAGCGACGTTCTTTTCCATCGTGGACGTGGCAAGAGAGATCGCGGGCGCGAGATCTCGCACGCCGCCGGTACATTTGTGCACTCTCGAGAACGTCGCGGTACGACCTCGACCCGCCGGCGCGCCGACCGTACGGGGGGGAGAAGTCACTCGACATTGTAACTGAATATTCAATGTCTCGTAAGCGAAGTCTGAATCGAATTCGCGATTCCGCGGGGCTGCAATCGATGCTCGAGTGTCGCTTCGGAATCCTCTCTTCGGCGCGAGCAATTAAAATCCTCGTCTGCGCGGCGAGCAGCCAACCGGGTGGGTCGTTGAAGATACCAACGTCGGCCTTCGATCCAAGGCCGATCGTTGCGAACGTAACGAACAGCGGATGGAGATAAAGGGCGTTTATTCACATGCCTGGAAAGAGAGAGAGAGAGAGAGAGAGAGAGAGGGAGGGAGAGAGAGAAATAGAAGAGAGGAGGAAGAGAGATCATTTCGCTCGTACACACCAAGTCCTCGAACAAATGATTCTCATTACGAGACATTACAGCGCGGCTCCTCCCTGCAGCCGCGAGTGCTCCGTTGCGCGCTGTTATCTTTACCCCACGTATCATTACTAGTCTAGTCAATCGCGTGCTCTTTCCGCTCTGTTTCGGCACGGGTCGAGATCGGCTCTCGAGCCCGGGCGCGATTACGTCTAATTAATCGAAAGTTCGATCGAACCGATAGGGAGACACCTACCAACGTGCACACGCACGCGTCATGCGCAGGTGCTCTCGGCGGCAGGGTCTCTCGAGTCGACGAAGATAGCGCGCGGGCTCGACCTTCGATCCAAGGCTGTCGCTGCCGGAGCGGAGAGGAGGCGCCGCAGGTACGGCAAGACACACGGACCGTGTGTGCACGCGTCGCAGCACGCGTGTGCGTGGGCGTGCGCGTGCACTCCCGCGGTGGTGGCGCGGTAGCGCGGGGCCTGTTTACACGAAAGTTAATATTGACTGCGTGAGGTTACCAGTTGCTGAAGAAGCGACGCGACGAGGGAGGGCCGCGCGCGCCTACGATGATAATAATAAACGTTACCCGTCTCTTTTTGTCGCGTCGTCCCCCTTCCCCCCCTCTCTCTCTCTCTCTCTCTCTCTCTCTGTCTGTCTGTCTTTCTCTCGCCCGCTCGCTCGCACGTTCCTCGTCGTCCTGCCGTTCTTGCGCTGTGCGTGCACTGCCGGCGGTCCCTTTGATCCGGCGCTTCGTTTGTGCATTTAAACACGACTCGCTGGGACGCAGAGTGGAGCAACGAGAGGCGACGAACGGAAAGAGACGGAACGAAGGGCGAACGCCAGGGGAGGGTGAGTAAGGGAGTGCGTGGAGAGATCAGAAACGGGTGGGAAAGCGAGAGAGAACGGGGTGAAGGAGCGATGGAGAGAAAGAGACGGTTGCACGATGAGAAGAGAAAAGCGCCTCGAGTGGCCCGGCGAAATCTCGTCTGGACCTCCGAGAGGTAAAGTGAGAGTTTCGTCATTGCAAACGAGCCCTCCTCCTTGCGGCCCCAACCTTCAACCCTCCTCCGATTCCTAGGAGTTCCTCTTTGCCTCTTTCTCTGTTTCCCCGCCCCTCCTTCAATTTCTCTCTCTCTCTCTCTCTCTCTCTCTCTCTCTCTCGTCTCTCTGTCTCTCTCGCTCGTTTCACGACTCCTCTGGCCATCTCCTCTCGAGTCTCGCGACTCTTTGTCGCTGCTTTGCGCCGACGATTGTCGGCACCCTCAAATCCGCTTGCTCGATGATAACTCCTCGAGATTAATGTTCTTTAATGGATTCAATGGCGGAGGAGTGCGTTTCGACGCAGCCCTTTACATCGCTCGCCCGTTCGCCGACGAGCACGCGTCGCCGGGGCACGCCAGGAAGGAGGGATGGGCAGCAGAGCGCGCGGCAGGGTGGCTGGCAGGCAGGCAGGCAGGCAGGCAGGCAGGCAGGCAGGCAGGCAGGGAGAGCGAGAGAATGAGAGAGGAAATAACAATCAAACTCTACCCCCTCCCGTTCTTTCCTGGATTCGTCGGGCGCCGGAGGCTGACTGTGAACCGTTCGCGGAAATTTTCATCACTAATTTCGCGCAGCGATTCGAGCCAGACGGTCCGGCGCGCGCGGAAGGTCGATCAATGATCGGGTTACAGGCGAGCAGGAGGGACTGTCGCGCGGACACGTGACGACTGACGTGAAGTTCATTCCCACGAGCTGGCGACATTGAAAGCGCATCTCGTGGGAATGACGCTACGACGTTCCGCAAACGCGCTGCAAAACGCGCCTCTCTCTCTCCCTCTCTCCCTCTCTCTCTCTCTCTCTCTTTCTCTCTCTCTCTCTCTCTCTCTCTCTCTCTCTCTCTCTCTCTCTCTCTCTCTCTCTCGTATTTATCTCCCTTGCACGTGATGGTAAAACGAATCGATTCCACGGTTCGTTTTAGCGATCTCCTTTCGCGAACATTCGCGTTTGACGGCTCAATCGGCGAGACTCGCGCCGCAATTGCGAGTGTGCATTGTCTCGCGTATCAAACGCAGAGAGCGCTTGTGCACACGCATATGCGCAATATGCCGGCTGCAACGGCGAGCGGATTGATTGTTCGCGGCTACATTCGCGCGACGCGCCGTTTCGTCGTGCGCCGCGCGAGTTATCACGTAGTCGACGAGGGCTCATCTTCGAGGGGATCGCCCTCGCGTGCGCCGCTCGCTGATGAAGCGTCGATACGCCGCACCGTGTCTGCAGTCTGTGTTGCGCCGCTCGGCACTCTCGTGGTGAGCGAGAGGACAGGTGAGAGAGAGAGAGAGAGAGGGGGGGAAAGTGCCGACGACAGAAGCTCGCCGTGCGGAGATAGAAGCAAAAGGATCGAACAGCCCGAGCGTGACCGCTGAGGCGTTAATAATGCCACCTCGGGGGACTCGAGTGCAGTCGTTTCCGTTTCACGGATAACCAGGCACATCCGCGCCGACTGCGAAATTTCCTCCGCGAGTCCTCCCGGACTGCAACGGCGCGGCGACGGCGGCGGCGGCGAACAGTGAAATTGTACGAGGCCCGAAGAGAGAAGAAATAAAGAAAAACACGAGGAGAACGTTACGAGAATGTTATCATCCGGCGGGAATCACGCGTGTAGTTGACCGGCTCGTTAACGCGATGGTGTGAGGCTTACGAGAGTATCACGCTGTGAACGGTAAATTAGCGTCGATTGCGAGACGCAGGAAAGGATCTCGCGGAAACAGCGCGCCATCCGGTGCGTGGTTGCAGTCGGTCGCTTTTGCGCGAGCGTAATGGCGTAATGTTGCGTTTTCAGGTAAAACGCGGGTCTGAGAAGGATGCGAGATCCGTCTGAGTGCCGGGCTTGATTCGCGATTAGAACTTGATAAAACGGAGCGCGCTAATGGAGACGCAGATGAAATCGCCCGTTGCGCAGCCCGACCGACGCGTCGTAATAAATTGCTCTTCCCCCCTTCCCCTCCTTCTTTCTCTCCTTCTCTCCCCTCGTCCGTGGATGTACGAATCGTTACCTCTCCGCGAGAACAAGTCTATCCGTGAATTATCGCGAGCTTACGTGCTCTCCACGCGTCGATCTGTGCGCTCGCGCGCGCATAAGTGTGCGTGCGTGCGTGTGTGTGTGTGTGTGTGTGCGCGCGCGCGCGCGCGCGCGAGCACAATTTGCGGCACCGGTTCAAATGTAATTTCCCGCGCGCTAACGACGCACGTTTTTCTTTCAATTATTGGCGTATTTTTTTAACGAGGTTCCGACCGCGTAATTACGTTTCATTTTAGCCGAGGGTTCCGCGCGGTGCGACGCGGCGCGCCGTGGCCGATCGATTTCACGGCGCGGACTAATGAATCAAATTAATGAACGAAGCCTTATCGTCCTCGCTAGTCTTCGGCAATTGTTGCCCTCCGTGAGTTCCGACGACGTGCCCTCCGTAGCGACGTAGTCGAGCGAGATCAGCCGGTGAAGGGGGCGAAGGGGCGACCGGTGGTTGTGCTTCGGTTTCCTTCATTAGTGGTTTCCGAGTGTAGATTTACCGCTGATTATTTCACCTACGTTCCGCCATCAGAGGGCGGACTTGCCGCTAACGTTCGCGATGACGAACGCTACTTTTTGCAGCTCGCGTCATCCTCTTGTCCTAGAGAAGGGGGAAGGGCCGAGCAACCGTCTCCGACAGCGGCGACCGCCACGTCCCGTCGCTGGGTTCGGACAATTTTGGGGGAAAAAAGCAGAGCGGTTCCCCGGCGGGGGGGGAGGGGGGGAGGCCCTTCGGCTTTTTCGTCTCTTTCGCCGTCTTTCGCGAATAATACGCGCGGCTTTGACGACCGAGAGCCACTCTCGACGCGCTTCGTCGCGAGTGGCCGCGGAGCCGAAGGATAAACGAAAAGGAACGCGTCCTCCCTTTTAGTCGGCGTTTTATTGGACTCGATTAAATTCGTCGAGCAGCGAAGTAGCTCGCGCGCGCGCGCGTCTTCAGACGAGAACGACGAGAACGGTGGCGACGGCGGCGGTTCTGATCCGACGGGAACAAAAACGCGGAGAGCGGCGAACGGGAGGAATCGACCTGACATTCTCGGGAACCAACCATCCCGTCCTCCCTCCTTCCCCCGTCTTCTTCTTCCACCCTCCTTCCGTCTTCTTCCATCCTCTGATCCCTCCGACTTCTTCTATCTCTACGGGGAATTGCTTTCCCTCCCATTGTCCTGCGCGAATGCTCCTTTCCCATTCTAGAATTCCGAGCTGGCTGTCTTTTCCATTCTCTCTCTTCTCCCCTCCCCCCTCTCTCTCTCTCTCTCTTTCGCTTTCTCTTACGATACCCGCACGGTTATTCGACGCGCCCTTCCTCCGGGCGCACTCAGCGACAGCGAGACAGGAAGAAGGAAAGAGGGTAAGAGGACAACAGCTTGGAGCGTCGCGAAAAAATTCGAGGCAAAGGTCGTTGTTTCGCGGTCGCGCTTCTCCGGACTTTCTTCCTTCCTCCTACCGACTCATGTAGCGCGAAGGAATCTCTCGAAGGGGGTAGGGGGAGAGGAGCAGTTGCGTCGCGTGCACGCGCGATACGCGTAATCGCGTGTCGTGACCGTGATGTTGCGTATGATTCATCTGTTGTCCCAACATCGTCAGCGGCGCGACGCGCAACGCCGTTCGATCTGATTAATCGTCTCACCCGGTATCATCGATTTTCTCTGTTGCAGGGGTCAGCGAGGCGAGCGTGCAGCTGCAGCAGCCGAAACTGCCGGCCGCGATCCACGTGGGCAGCGAGATCGAGCTTCGGTGTCACGTCGACGGCTCCGGCGACATGACATACGAGTGGTTCAAGTTGGTTCTAGAACTTTGTCTATTTAAACTCACCCACCTACCCACCTACTTACCTACCCACCTACCTACCTGCACGTCTCGCGCTATAACGCGACGCGGGCGAGGGGATGAGCGGAGGGACCGGTAGGTGGAGGAGGGAAAGGTGGGGGGAGCAGCGAGATGCTGCGAGAACACAACGAGACGCGAGCGGGGGCGGCGGTGAGAGCCGGTAGCGCCGGGACAGTTGAAGGGGGTTGGGAGAGGTGGGAGGATGCCGCGGGGCGAACTAAGTTCCTGGCGTAACTGACACCCGACGTTTACGGAACCGACCTGGTGAATTATGAAGTGACACTCCCTCGCTGGGCATGCCGTCGCGGCGGAGTTTCACTCCTGCCGTCACCTCGAATCACTTCCTCCCCTTTCCCTGCCCCTCCTCGCCCTCCGTGGTCCTCCGCTGGCATGTCGGAAAGTCGTGCGGGACAACGTCATTCATTCGAACGGCGTAGTTTAATGACGTCGCGCTTTGAAGGATAAAAAACGTCAGTCCTTGGACGGGGACAGGCACTTTTTGTGAACGGCGGGGCGCGCGCGTCTATGGGCCGTTTCGAAATTGAAAGCCGGCCGACGACGGCGGGCGGTTGTCGCGGGGTAGTTGGTATTCGCCGGCGCGCGATACGAGGGAGGCGCGTGCGATAAGGTCGCGATGAATTGGAAATGGCGATACTAAAGTTACGCGAAGGAGGATGCAGTTAGCGGGCTGAATTAACGGCGTTTCTCGCCGTCTGAATGTAGATAGCACGGTGCGCGCGAGGTGTAACGAGGTGTTGCGCGATTCGATTACGCGCTCGTAAAGCAATTTGCATATTTTGCGGGAGCACGGGAGGGTGCGGCTGAGAGAAGGAGAGAAAGAGAGAGAGAGAGAGCGCGGAGTTACAGCGGACGGGGTCGCCTGTTTGGTTTTCGCAGGAACACGATGAGCCTGGCGCGAAGCGAGCGTATCGAGATCAAGAAGAAGAAGCTGCACATACACAAGGCGGTCGCCGAGGATAGCGGTATGTACAGTTGCCTGGCAAAGAACGAAGCGGGCTCGTCGCCGGTGACCGAGAGCTATCCGCTAATCGTTTCCGGAAATGAGACCGCGACGATTAAGGTCGTGCCGCGAAACCTGATTGCCAAACGCGGCGAGCCGGCCGTGCTGCACTGCATCTTCGAAGACGCCGACGATGTGCAGTGGTTCTTCAAAGAAATCGGCCCGCTGGAATCCGACGAGGAGCGGACGATCTTTGAGAACGGCACCCTCGTGATACACATTGCCGACCAAAGGGACCAGGGATTTTACTCCTGCCATGGATTGAGGGACGAGAGTAGTATCAGTTATACGGTCGAGTTGCAAATTGCCTGTGAGTACTGGCAGATTTCTCAGAGAAACCGGCGATAATGATAAATTTATTATTATTAAGAGTACCGAAGAGTCTTTTCGTATTTTAAAGCCTTCATTTTCCGCGGTTACAGTACGTAGTAGTATACGGATTCTTAATTTTAATCCAGAATTAATTTAACGTTAGTTCCACGTAAGTTAACAACATTTCTTGATTGTGTTTATCAGCTTCTGTTAAAATCGAACTTACTTTATTATTTTCATGTAAAGTTTTATAGGAATTAAACGAAAAGACTTGACGGTATTCCTGAATATATACATTTCTATTGCATTTATTGCACAAGATGGCTCATATTTTAATTTATTCACTCAAATATCTCGAAAAATATAAAACGGATACGGAAAAACGTTTCAGACCAAAGTTATGTGGTTTAAGGGGGGACATAAAATGGCGATATCATTTTGTTTACAAATGGCGTCAATTTCGAAATATTCATTGATCATAACTTTTCTTAAATGGAAACCTCAATTTTGTTATTGTATCATCTTTTTCTACCAATTAATCTGAACAACTTTTGTCTGAAATATTTTTTTATGTGCCCAATATATCTTGAGATATTTAAGGAAGATTTGGTAACTTTTTCAAGATTTAACTAACGACATCTCGGTAACTATTTCTCGGTAACTATTTTGTCGGAAGGAAAAGTAGTACTAGACTTTTTTCCGAGATATTTAAGTAGATGAGTTAAAAAGAGCCATCCTGCATATATAATGTACAGGGTTTCCCCCTTCTTTTGGAAACGAAAAATTGTGAAGATTAATCAGATCAAACTGAGAAGAATAGTCATGTACCATTTTGCAAAAGTCGCAATAGTTATTGAGTTATTAACGATTGAAAATGACCACATCTAAAGGGCTCTTTTAATTGATAACTTGAAAATTTGCGTACTTATTTACAAAATGATAAAGAACTTTCTTGTTCAGCATAACCTAATCTACAATTATATGACAGCTCTAGCGATAGATATGAGTATATTGAACTTTGAACCCTGAATCCTGAACTTGTCGCTAGGGACAATAGCCGTCATATATAATTATAGATTAGGTCATTCTGAACAAAAAAGTCCTTTATCATTTTGCAAATAAGTACGCAGATTTTCAAATTATCAATTAAAAGGGCTTCTAGATTTTCAGTCATTAAGATTTTAATATTGCGATTTTTGCAAAATGGATTTTTCTTCTCAGTTTGATCTGGATTAAGCTTCACAATTTTTCGTTTCCAAAAGATCCCGGACACCCTATATAATATATTATACTACATTTATATATTTAATTAGATCACCAAACATGTATTGAGATTGTAAATCTTCTTTCTTTACAATACGAGTCAAGACAATTTAATCACGCGACGACATCGCATACAAGTCTGAATTAAAAAATTCGCAGACTCATAGATGTGTGATTGCTTTCAGATTTGTTGAACTTCTCGATGGCCGCCTTCGAACCGAAACGTCCAACTCAGCTGGCGATCGTCGGCGAGGATCAAGAATTCCAGATAAGCTGCCTAGAACCTTTAGGCCTACCGCCGCCCAAGGTTTATTGGCGAGATCCCAGGGGACACATAATAAGCGACACCGGCCCCGTGCGTGTTCAAGACAACACGCTCATCATCGCTCAGGCACGAATGAACGAGGATGATGGCAATTACACCTGCGTGGCCGAGAATCTCGCCGGTGAAACGGATATATCCGTCCAAATAGTCATATCCAGTAAGTTGATAACATTACCGCAGAGAATCGAGAGGTTGGACGAGAACCACAAAAAAAGGAAATAATCGTCCAATTGTGCGATCGACTGATTCATCTTAATTTTTAGCCCCGCCGAGTATCGTAAGCTCCCCGGAGTCGCTGAGCGTGATGGAAGGCGACTCGGTGACGCTGACCTGTTCGTATTCCGGCATGGAGCCGCCGGTGACTCACGTGCATTGGCTGAAGGATGGCGCGCAACTGAGGGAGTCGGGCGGCCCGACGAGATACCGCGTGACCGACAATCATGGCAACGTTACCTTGCACTTCAAGAGCGTCGATCTGTCTGATAAGGGGCACTACATGTGCCAGGTGTTCACAACGGGATTCCCGTCTCTGTTCTCGGACCCGGCCGTTCTCACGGTCGAGGAGAAGCTCAAGTTCTCGCCGCAACCGGTCAATAAGCGCCTGGAGCTGAACTCCGTAGCGAAGGTGTCGTGCAAAGCGCAAGGCGCCACGAACCCGACGGTCAAATGGGTGAAGGAGGGCGAGGGCGAGGAATTTCCCAAGCACGTTCAGGACATCAACGGAACGCTGCACTTCAACCACGTGCTGGAGGAGGACAAGGGCCGATACACTTGCATAGCGAGCAACGCTCAAGGCTCCATCAATCACACCATCAGCATCGATGTAGTCAGTGAGTATTCGAGATGGAGCATCCGGAGGATGGGGAGGGAGGAGAGAGTGGGCGTTCGCGCGTGCGATGACGTGCAAACGGGATGAATTAACGCGCTCTTGATCATTTCTTTCCGCAGTCATGCCCAAGTTCACGATACAGCCGCAGAATCCGACGGAGGCTATCGAAGGATACCCAGTGATGCTGCATTGCGCCGCTGTTGGCGATCCCAAACCGACCATTCAGTGGGACAAGGACTCCCGTATGAACAATTTGGACAATCCTCGTTTCGAGGTGTTGAGTAACGGAAGTCTGTACATTAAGGAAGTGTACCTTACTGACGAGGGCAAGTACGGATGCACCGCCGGCAACAGCGGCGGCCTCAAGCGAGAGGAGGTTCAGTTGAATGTGAAAGGTACTCTTTGGTTTTTCATTAATGCACTATCGTTTCAGCGATAGTGTTGCAAAGCGACGGGAAATAACGATAACAACGATTTCTCTTTCAGCCGGAGATAGTTACAGAGCCGATATGGATCTAGAAGCCGGTGATGACGGCTCGATGATGACCAAGACGGTTACCATCACCCTGAGCGCAGCCGCCGCCTACATGGTGCTCGTCGTCGGTCTCATGCTGTACTGTCGTTACCGACGTCGCCGCAGGAAGCAGCAATATCTTCAGGAACAAACGGAAGGTACGACCGTTGATATCCGCATGCACGATAATTTAACTCCTCACGTTGGCACACACGGCCAATTCGACGCGTGCTATTTGAAATTCCAGAAAAATTGGAGAACGGCGACGTGCAAGAGGAACAAACAGAGCTGAAGGAAAGCAGCAACAAGGCAAATTCCACGAGTAAGAAGAAGGAGAACCGTGATTCTCACAAGAGCGACGGCGCGGACACCGCTCAGAGCCAAAGTAGCAACCAGTCGAAAAAGTCCAAATCGAATTACGACAAGATTGCCGTGTCGCGAAGCAACCTGAAGGAACTGAAGCCTCTCGGTCGGGGTGAATTTGGCGAAATTTACGCTACAAAGTATCAGGTGGACGGCGATAAGGAGTCTCTGGTGATGGTGAAGAGTCTCACCAACACCAAGGACGAGATGGCTCTTCAGGAGTTCAAGCGGCACCTGGATCTCCTGCATAAGCTCAATCATGAGAATGTCGTCAAGTTGATCGGTCTATGTCGAGAGGAGGAGCCGGACTACATGATCCTAGAATACACCGACTGGGGCGACCTGAAACAATTCTTGATCGCCTCGCGCAAGGACAGCAATTCCAGTCCGACGCACGAGTCGAAGCCACCGCGCGCACCTCAGCTGTCGGTGGCGCAGATCCTCGCGCTCTCGAATCAAGCTGCGAAGGGCCTCAAGCACTTGGCCGACAACCGATTGGTCCACAAGGACATAGCCGCGCGCAACTGCCTGATCGCTAGTAATCTGACGATCAAGATCTCACTGCCGTGTATGACCAAAGAGCCGTACCACCAAGAGTACACGAAGCATCGGAATCAGGTCATCCCGCTCAGATGGCTGCCCTATGAAGCCGTGTACGAAGACGAGTACTCCACCAAGAGCGACGTGTACTCATTCTCCTGTCTGGTCTGGGAGATGTTCCATCAGGGCGAGCTGCCCTTCAACAAGATGAATGACGAGTCCGTGCTGACTCAGCTCAAGGCGCAAACGCTCATATGGAAGCCGCACAAGGCGGCGCCGCCGACCCTGCAGGAGCTCCAGACTCAATGCTGGGCGACCGATCCGCGCGACAGACCAACCTTCGACGAGGTGGTCTCGAAAATAGGAGAAATTGTGGCCGACAGCTGCCTGTAGTAAGGCTGTTTTACGCGTATAGTGGCCGGATAGCGAGGCTCTGAGCGTATCGGAAATATTGCAATAGGGGTAATGATTGTGCTGAGCTGAACGAGAAGTAAGGCTGACGAGCGCCGACGATCGCGCGGCGGCGATCCTTCCGCCCGTGGAGGATCGTCCGGGAGAGAAGAACGGCCGCATGAGGCTTCGCACTCGCACGCGCGCGCGAGAAAGAGAGCGAGAGAGAGAGAAAGAGAGGGGAAAAGAGAAAGAGAAAAGGAATAATTAACCGGCTTCATGTAAACGCTTGAATATCGACTATATATATACATATATATATATATATATATATGTAATGAATCCGCGGGAATCCCACCCACCGTAGGGAATCCTACTCTCGTGTAAATGGAAAATGCTTGCTCATTAATCATCGAACGCGAGGATTATGTGTTTCAATGATGTCGCCGGTACGTACACGCGCGGATCTCGAGCATCCCAATCCGATCGTGACTAATCCGGTGTACAGACCTCACGTTGAAATTCAATTCGAGCGCGTGCGCGCGCGCGCGCGCGCGCGCAATAGTGAACGTTGTACGCGCGTCTCTCGTTCGTGCGTACCGTTCGATACTCGTCGTTACATGTGATCAAGTGAGTGGCGTCTCCACCGTACGAGGAGTTTTTTGGTACATATACTTTACACACACACACACACATACATATACGCGCGGAGCCCGAGCGCGCGCGACTTCGGACATTTATTTATTGTCATTATATACCATACTCGAAGCACTCTCCCATCCTTAGCTCTGTTCCCGAAGCACGAACGTCAGATTCTCCGTGTTTAGTCGAGCCACTTGTCTCGCGCGATCATTGGAACATTTTTCTTTTCTGTCGTTTCTATTATTCTTTTCTCATTGTAGGTAAAACGCGGTAGGATCGCGTCAGGTTCTACAATAATTATTCGTATTACAGTATTCTTTCGCGTCAGATTAACGGAGAGGGGGAGAGAGAGAGAGAGAGAGAGAGAGAGAGAGAGGAGAAGAGAGAAGAATTCGACAAGGAAATGATATTAATTTCGACCAACATCTCCGTCTCCCCTCCCCTCCCCAGCAATGACTTTTATCGTCGGACTAAGAATAACGATCTGTATGGGCCCATTACATGTTATTACGCAATTAATGCAATACTTAGTATACAGTATCGATATAATAATAGGTATCATCACCGTACATCGAATACTCATAAGGTACTCTAATCGTTAGGTGAGCCGAAGGAAAGAAACCGACGACGGGGACGCTCGGTCGAGCCGTTCGGAATGAAGACGACGACGACGACGACGACGACGGCGGTCGAGCGTCACCGGCGATCGGGAAATGCCCGGTGCTGCTATTGCACATGCATATTATACGGACATGCGTATTAAGAAAGTATCACGACCATATCAAATGACGAACGGAATCTTATATCACTGCCTATTTACTCCTACACACATCCACACACCCACACACGCGCTACAACCGCTAAGGACACGTATAACAAAAGAAGAGAGAAAAGAAAAGAAACATAAGGATTATTTATAACGTATATTTATGTGTGATAAGAACGATCGCAATCGACCACTCGTATCGACTAAAAAGAGACGGCCTTGTACATACCGATGATATAAGTGTAAGTTCTTTTTAAGCGCGAGAGAGACTAGCGTGAAATCGTCGCGTTTGATTTCCAATTAATGTGATCAGTCTCGAATCCCGCCCCCCCCCCTCCCCCACCCTTCTCTCACAGCCATAAGACTAAACTCCCCGTAAAGTAACTCTCTACAGCGTCGGAAGAAATTTCGCCGTATTTTGGTACCGGTGAGAGAACGCTCGAGGCGCCGGGGGCACGTGGCCGAGGTATTTAACGGTGCAGAAAAACGACTACTATACGATTGCTACTCGAAAGCCTATTTTTACATGTTACGGAAATTTAGACTCGATCAGATCAGGCGAAGTATCGCTCGCGATATTTTTGCATCCGCGGTTACTCTCACGGTTTGATAAGTAGCGCGAACAATCTACTCAACGCGATGGTCCAATGAGAAAGAAAGAGCAAGAGTGAGAGAGAGAGAGAGAGAGAGAGAGAGAGAGAGAGAGAGAGGAACATTCCGAATGTATGTATTACCGCGACTGTTCCGTGTCATCCGATTTGTACAACGAAAAGCAACGTTCGTATTTTAACTCTACGTAAGTTGTGTAACATCGTCCTCCCCCCCACTACTTCCGCGTTCAATTTGAGCGAATCTACTTGGTAAGGAATAATCCACTCGCGCGAGACAGATGCGCCTTTGCGTCCTTGCTTCTTCCGTTCGATACAAGACTACTCGTCGTTATACTCGTCGATGCTTCGAAAGCCAGATGCAAAGGGTACAAAACCGCCGAGGAGGAGGGCTGCGAAGGCTCTCGTGGGTAGGAAAGAAAGGCAGACGGATGAAAGGAAAGGAATATAGTAATCGCGCAAATCTGTCACTTGTCCCGTGCCGAACGTGCATGCATTACGAGAACTCACGACTCTAAAATAGTTTATCGAAGCATTAAGCCGCGCACAGAGCCGTGCGGAAGAAAGAAGAGAAACGATATCGTATCCGCGGCTTAGTTCGGCTTCGCGGACGCGCGACACGAAACGACTCTCGTCGAAGGGGAAAGTGGCCGGTATGCGAGAGAACTTGCTGGTTCGCTTCGCCTTGTGCTGATCCTTATCGAGAGACGGGTTGTAACGAGCGCGCGAGGTAATCTCTTCATCGAGACCGCTGCGCGTCAAGGATGCGTTCGCGTGAGCAACGATCCGCCGCGAGAGCGGTGAATTTTACAATCGATCGCGCGATTCGTTCGCAATTTGTACTCGGCGAGGAGTTCAGGAAATTGATCGGGGAGAACGGTGACGATGCGCGATGAGATCGCTTGGAAAGATATATTCGTCGTCGAAGAGTCGTGTGTCCCCCCGAAACTTCTCCTGGACCTTCCGCGGAAAGGCAGGAGGGAGAGGAAAGGAGGGAAAATTAAAAGAAAGAAAGAAAGAAACAAAGGCAGGAAAAAGCGCTCTCGTCGGCTCTGTGCTGCATGCTGATATAAATATGATGTATCATATACGCAATATAAGATATACGAAGCACTAAGGTAACACACTGCCAATCGTATCTATGTAATGTAAAAGGGTCATAATTACACGATAAGTACGACCATTCTCCGCTCTAAAGCACCCTCGTCGTACCGAGCGCAGCGTAGCGCAACGCACCCACCGCGAAAACACACCGTCCGCGAGCGCAGCGAATGTGTCCTCGTGGGCGCTCTAATCAAGTACACGAAATATGTAAGAGCACGAATTGTCGAGTAATCTTTCAAGGTAACGGATCACCGGAGCTCGCGGGGCGCGTCTCTGCGAGCGAATTTTATGAAATGCTTCCTAAATGTTCGCTAATGTACGTCGAGAAAATATTCTTGTGACCAGCGATGGCGAGCGTACTTGGGACGGCGGCAGCATCGGAATACGAAATTTCAGCCCGAGGAGACTCGAGCGAGACGAGCCTCTGAAACGCGCGCGGAAGCTCGGTGAGGGCGCGACGAATTGTGTCGATCGCGATGCCGCGCGTCCGCGCTTTTGATCGTGATTTTGATCGGAGCTGTGTCGTTAGGAGAAATTAATAAAAAGGCCAGATTCGATTTACGAGAGAGCGCGCGCGCGACAGGAATACGAATAACGTCCAAGTACCCGAGCCGTCGCTGCTTGTAACATAAAGTACGCTAGGGCTATTGTTACCCTGCAGCGATCTAACCCCGCAGTACGAGTACGTGTGGTAAATTAAGGCCAATTATCCAAGTCCTATGTGCTCATATCATACGCTCAGAATATTCATCGTGCGAACGCGATCACCACTGCCATAAATAATGAGGAAAGAGGAGCGAGACGGCGCGCGCGGCCGGAGGCCGTGTCAGCCGCGTCGCGGGTGGGTTTCGTGAAGCTACCTATTATGTCTAACACGTCTAGTCATATACGGTGACAGAAGCGAACAGCGAAGGTACGGAAGGCTCATTTGAATGACGTTCATATCCTTAGGCGTTCCAAATCGATTTCTTTTTTACAGTATTTTGTAAATATTTGTACTTTTTTATCTACATCGTACTTATGAATTTTTGGAATAGTATGTGCTACGATACTAAATAAAGGTGAGACAGAAAACCAAGCACGTACGTTTCTTTGGGCCTACCTTGCAAAGTACCTCCGAGGAGACGATATTTCAGTTCTCGTTAACACGATGCTTCAATTTTCGTATCTCTTTGAGTTCCTCCTACGTCCAGCACGTCCGAAAATCACGAGACGCTCACAGGTGGATGGAGAGCCTCCAGGTATGTTGCAGCAGTCTATTATCGTTTTCTCTTTGCTAGAAATAATTACTTGCCACCGTTTCGTGGCCGGTAATTCGAGTCAATTTCTCACGAAGAATATTACGATAATGCACCATAATTAGCGTACATTGTGTATAATGTACGCTAATAGTGGAAATATAAAAAGTGCCGTAAAGAAACACACGTCATAATCCGGGACCAAAAATTTCCTCGTGGGATCGATCGAGGCGCGAGAAACGTTACTATTGGGTTGGTCAATATATGAATTCCTACCGCCTAATCAAAGCATTGATTCTGATAAGCGTTGTTCACAATTGAACAGGCTGAAGGAGAAACAACCAGAACTTGCCAATAAGAAAGGGGTAATTTTCCACCAAGACAACGCGCCACACGTATCACTACAGACTCGGCAAAAATTGAAAGAGCTGAATTAGCATGTTCTTATTCGTTCACCATATTCACCTGATTTAGCACCATCGGGTCTTCACTTCGTTCATTTCGTTCTTTGCCAAAATTCGCTTAATGAAAAAAGTTTCGGTTCTCTAGAGGCCTGTAAAATGCATCTTTTAAGATTTTTTGAAAAAATGGCTGAAAAAGTGGCAAATTCTGGGAAGATTATGGATGATCAGGGTATTATGAAGCTGTCTATAAGATGGCAAAAAATGGTCAATAATCGTTTAGTAGAGTTTTTTATATTAAAGAAACTCTATTAAAATACTTCGGTTTCTCACCGAAAAATCTGACATTACCTATTGGCCAACCCAATACTGTGCATGTTTCATCGAGTCGAAAGTAATGTCTATTTTTAAGTCGAACTGAAG